ATATTTTAAATTACTTCATTTATTTATTTCACAGTTGTTTTTTAACATTGAGTGCATAAGAAAGAAAATCCAGATTCTGCTTTCTGTGCAGTAAAACTTTATATCTTTAAATCAGCTAATAAATATTTAAATGTTAGAGAATATGCTGCTTAGTGACGTGTTTGTGTCCAGTTTTCCTCGCCTAGTGTCCTGCCTGCTCCCAGAGCCAAACGGAGATTAGCTAATCCCAAATGGGATTTCATCTTCTGGATAGCTGTTGCCACGGTGACCGGCTGGTCCAAAACACTGAGCCGTCCTTGGCCGTGGCCCGGGAGAGGAGCCTGCAGGTGGCATCATAACTTTACTTCATTTTGTGGAAAAATGCATTAAACTCCATGGTTTAAAATACAGCTTGGGTTAAATCGATTAGTCGAATTAATTGTGATTAATTGATTGTTGAAATCTTAAAAATCGATTAGTCGTCAACTGAAGTTTACAGACTCAAATAAAGTTAATTTGCTGAAAGAACAACACATTCAGAGCTGTACAAAACTGTACAAAAAACTGTACAAAAAATAAAATAAAAAATAGGTAATAAAAATAACCTTTTTGTCTTTAGGAGTTCTTTTACTCAGAACTCCTCAAGTCACCTGGTTCAATTTTATTTTTAAGTCTCCTTTTGCTGTCCAATTATTAATCAGTTAATCCAAAAAATAACCAAATGATCAGCTCTACTCTGCAGATGCGTTGTTTGGTACAAATGATCAAGGTTTCACTAATAGGATGCTATGTTATTGCATTTTAGGCAATAAAATGTTTATTTTTTTTGTTAAAAAAGGAATTAAATTGTTTGCATTTTTAATACTACACAAGTGGTTAAATGAAAAAACTAGAAAATGTGGCCATTTTTCAAATCCGATTAATCACCGGAATAATCGATTGCTAAAATAATCTTTAGCTGCAGACATAACTTTAAAATTGTACCTTCTCCAACTTGAGGATGCTGAGGGACTGGCAGGGAGCGCTGTGCTTTAACAGTATCTGGACACTAGGGGTCAGTGCTGAGGCACTGCAGGTTAAGCTGACATGGATGCCGCTGCTGTCTGGCCTGTGGTGAAGCAAGAAAAGTCTTTTATTTTTAATGCAATGGACTAAGAATTATAGGTTGTTTTTTTTGTTTGTTTGTTTTAATTTGGTTTTTTGCAGCTTTGTTGGAATAAATAACAAAATCCCCACAAAGTGTATGATTCCTAACCAATAGATTAGACTGACTTTTTAAATCTTGCATCATGTAAACCATAAAAACTGCAGATTCTTACACACACACATTGCAGGATAAAGGTTTAATATTGACACTACCTGCTGCCCGAACACTGCAGCGCTGTTCCATCATCACTGGCCTTCAGCTCCTCCACAACAGCGTTCAGCTCCTCTGGACTCCTCACCATGAATTCCAGTTTGTGACTGTGGGAGGCGCCGCCGTGGGCCTGACTGAGCACAGACACCTGACCGCTGCCTGGCAGACAAAGATGAGGGAAAAAACCCAGCTTCAACTTATTTTACTGGGATTTTCTATTGTGTAGAACAGGAGCAACAAATGATGAAACGAACTGCAAAAACATGAATAATGCGAACTCCAAAAAACAAACAAAAAAAATAAATGATGCGGGAAAATGCTGCAAATTGCAAAAACAGAAGTAAAAGGAAAAGTGCCACAAAATGCAAAATGAGTATAAAAAGCTGTAAACTCGCTGCCTTTGCAGCAATTTTTTCTTGTGATTGCACCAATTTTTTTTCTTTAACACTTCAACCAGTGTTAAAGTTTGGTTGTAGTAATGGTTTTGTCATTGCACCAACTTTGTGGTTGCAGCCATTTTTCTGTGATGGCAGCATTTTTTTCCTGTGGCTGCAGCAATTTGACTGGTTTCAGCACTTTGTCTGCAGTTGTCTCAATTTTGTCTGCATCTGAATCAGTTTTCTGTTACAATTTTTGTTGGTTGTCAGTTTTTACTTTAATTTTCTATGATTACAGCACTTCCCACTTGCAGCCAGTCAAAGACCAGACCTCAAGTGAACTAAGAATCTGTGATAAGACTTAAATATTGCTATTCTTTGATGCAGTCTGTCAAATAGTTTCTTTTTTTTGTATTATTTTTGTAAAGAAGGTTTGAAACGATTTATAATTTTACTTCACAACTCTCAAAAACAAAACGAAGAAGCTTCATGGCGTCTCACCCAGTCCACCAACCAGCCAGTCGTTCACCCCTCCCTTCATGCTGTCCCAGGACGTATGCGGGGAGAAGACCGCCATCCCAGCCTCAACGGCCCGGATGGCCAACCGCTGCTTCCAGTCTTTCTGAGCCAGCCGCTTGATTGGCCGAAACAACGGCGGGTGGTACGAGACGATGAGGTCACAGCTCAAAACCTCCGCCTCCTCCATGACGGCGTCCGTCAGGTCGTTGGTCAGCAGGACGGTTTTGATTGGCCGAGGTTTGCTGGGCTCCACCAGCAGGCCGACATTATCCCACGATTCGGCCAGAGACAGAGGAGCGAGCTGCTCCAGAACCTGCAGAACCTCCTTCAGTTCCATTGGGCCGGCAGAAACCGAGAGGCGGCGGGAGGAGGGAGAATGAACCGAGGAACGCAGAAGAAGACCTGAGGTCAGTCTGCTCCGAGTATCGGATGAAGCTGAGGGAAACAGAGCTGAAGTGTTAAAGTTTGAACTTTTACAGATTAAACGTCTTCTGCTTTTCAGAAAGGAAAAAGTCCAAGAGAGATTTCTCCATCCTGGCACCATCAGTGGAGATCTGTCAGGACAAAAAGAAAAGAAACACAAAACAGCTGTTATTTTAATAATACATAGCTCCAACCAGTCTGAACTGGAAGTGATCTGCGCCATCTTAGTAGGCAAACACAATAAATAGCAGACTCATGGCTTCGAGACTAACAAGAAGAAAATATCTGGACACAAATGTGCAAGAGAAAGATACATGAACAAAATGGCTGCCATCAAGATCGACCACAATGAGACAGGGAAGGACAATATGTCAAACGATGCGACAAGCTGCCTCCAACCTCATACCACAATATAGTGCAATTACGTATAAATGAAAGATGTGAAAATCTATTTTTATAGTAGTTTTTGCTTTATTTTACCTACAACAACAAAAAAACATTAAATATTTTAAAGAAAATAAAATATTCTGATTTTTTTAATTACAGAAATGTGATCTACAAATCTTACTGGCATACAATCTTACTGGTTGGGTTGAAACCTTGAGTTTACCAAATGGGTGTCTTCAGACCTGCTGTTGAGTAAAAGTTGCTAAATTATTGGGGTCACCATTACTGTTAAGTTAAATCAAAAAGTGTGGTTAAATAAAGAAAAATACTGTATCTAAAATTTCCACATTTATAAAGATTTTGTCAGATTTTTTTTATTTAATTAATTAATTTATTTATTTTATTTTTGAACCTACCTGCATCAAACTTTCAACCAAATTGATTGTGGGGCCACAAAAATTAATTCCAAGGGCTGCAAATGGCCCTCGGACCGTACTTTTACCACTCTGCTTTAAGTTTCACTTGTTAAAATTGAGCCACAATAATCCATGCATTTTAAAACGGCATTTCTATTCGGTATCACCATTTTAAACATCAAACAAACTTATGGGTGTTACAGGGCGCGGAAGCTTAGTTTAATATTAGCATTAGCTGCTCTGACTGCTCATAGACAAGACGCTAGCAGCAGAGCTAACGCTAGCAGCAGAGCTATCGCTAGCAGCAGAGCTATCGCTAGCATTTCCTTTGCAGTTAACGGCTAGAGTCAACCTCTGCACGTCGTCAAACACATGTGAGCAGAAATGGACTCACCTTACCCGGGTCTGCGTTTTAAACAAATCACGACTTCAGAAGTTGCTAAAATGATCTAAGTCGGAAAAGTGAAATAGAACAGCACACTTTCAGCAGAAATCTCAAAATGTCCTTTCTAGGCTTCCGTTCAACATACCAAGGTACAAGTTGTAGTTGTAGTTTTTTATCCTGCTTGTAGATGGGACAGATTATGACTACTGAAGGGTTTTCCCATATGGTGAAATAAAGAATAGCAAGTCATTAGAAAGTAATTCTTAACTTGTTTTGCATTTTAATTTTAAATGATTAAAGAAAATGAACTAGTTTTATTTTATTCCACGCTTTCGGGGAAAAAAATAAATACATAATCCCAGCTCAGCCCAAATTTATTTAATTGATTCATTTCTAATCAATCAAACATATCCAAATCAAGCAACATCACTTAATAGTCAGACTTAATAAGGTACTAAACATCTAAGAATACATATATAATGAAAACATTGTGTGATAAAATAGTATGTTACTTAAGTACAATCATGTTTTTACAGTAAGAGAATGATTAGCAGAGAAAATGTTTTTGAAACATTTTGTCATTTAAAAGGAAGTTCTTTTTGCTAAGATCTTTTAGAGATTAACTATCTTTATACTTACTGCTTTGGTTTTAGAGTAATTACATTCTAAAAATAAAAGGATCCTAAATTATTGAACCAACTTGTATCATTAAGACAAAGGTTTATCTGGCTAATAGAGGACATTTAATCAACATTCTTTAGCCTTGGTATTACACAATACAGGTTATTTACAAGATTATGAAACAAACCTCCACATTAAACTAAACATAAAAAGACAAGATGACTATGATGAGCTGTGCTGAGGTGGATCTGGTCAGAGTTCAGCTTCATATACGCAGAAGGATTACCAGTCTGGCAATAAAGCAAATGAAACATGGCCGCAGATGAAGATTGCTGAAGGGTTAAACCTACATCTCTGACACGAAAGCAGGCTTCTGAGCAGACTGGCTTCCTCGGGATTGAGAGTGACCAAGAGGGAGATTAGTCTGGATTAAAGCAACAAAAAAAAAAGGTTGATGCTCGATGTTAGGATGAGGGAAGGATCAGATAAACGGCACGGAAACCATCATTACATCATCTGATTCTTCCTTCTCCATTAACATAAACAGAATTTACATAAACGCACCAATAAAAATGATTATAAACAAATTAGTTTTAAAATATCCCAATAAGAGTTTGGTTTTTTTGGTAATAATATCATTGTTTGTGTTCAGTCTGTTTAGTGGGATTCACAGATGTGTTTTTGGTTCAGCCTGTTCACTGAGCGAACTGCTTTATTCCGGTTAATTGGCACTATAAGCCCCCTGCGCCCCATCTGTCCGCCGGTTTCAGGCTCAGCACAGTTCGTCGCTCTGCTTTAACATCTGTCCACATGTCTGCCGAGTCCACATGGGAACGCTCAGAGCGTCCCTGTCCACTTTCCAAATTTCCAACTAGTCATTTAATCTCCGCTGGAAAGGATTTGGAGCTTTCTGACAAAGTATTAGAAGATAAAGCACCAGAAACCTCTGAACCCAGGTCAACAGTGGAAATAAAGACTCTGTGTTTATGCAGTGATATACCAGGAAAAATTGTATAATTAGATTACGGAGCTTTTATTTTATTTTTTTTAGATATTTTTTTGGTTTTTATTTTAAGCATTTTCCCCCAATGGACTTAATTCTCTTATGCAAGAGGTATGATATGCCATTTTTAATATTTTGTGCAGTAATTGCTCGATCGTAAAATATTTGTGCTCACATGATGTTTTTGACTTACCAATCCCTTATTTTGGGAAAAATCCACAAAATGATATAACCAATATGCAGGGCCGGGCCAAGTCTTTTTGGGGCCCTAATCAGATTTTCATTTGGGGCCCCCCATTACCAACATGTCAACAACAGACTTTTTATCTTTCCAAATCTACGTGTAACATACCTTTTGCTTTGTTTGTAACTATCTTACATAATGCCGGTGTTGTCATGGCTTTTTATTTTAACCTTAGAAGAGAAGTAAACAAAAAAAAGGATTTTAAAATGCAGAGTGGTATTTAAGTATCATATTATTTTAACTATTTGAAAGTAACATCAGATGATAAACATTCATTTACGGTAAACCAGTTAGCAAGTCTGATGTCTTAAAAAAATCTTCATTTATAGTAAAATATAATTTACATCTAATATTCTAGGTTTGAGACATATTTTATGTTTCTGTTTAGTTTTATTTTTCAATATGCAGGGCCAGTCCAACTCTTTTTGGGGTCCTAAGCAGATTTTCATTGGGGGTACCCACATTACCAACATATCAACAACAGATGCTTTAGCCATCTATGTGTGTAGCATACTTACTATAATTAGCTTTGTTTGTAGTTAGCTTACATCATGCTGCTGTTGTTATGGCTTATGATTTTAACTTTACAGGAGCAGTAAACAAAAACAGATTTTCATTGGGGCCCCACATTACCAACATGTCAACAACAGATGGTTTATCATTCCAAATGTACCTTTAGCTTTGTTTGTAGTTAGCTTACATCATGCTAGTGTTGCTGTGGCTTTTGATTTTAACTTGACAGACCAAGCAATTGGTCTGTAAATGTTGGTATTAAACTATATTTATCCATTATGCAGAGCCCCATGTTGTGGTTTAAGACAGTAATAATAACACAACAAGGCAGTTTTTAATTAGTAATGCCTTTATTTCCAAAATAATCTATTTCATCAAACCAATCTGAAATAACTTACAGTTTGCATACAAAACAACATATTTTCTGCTGTTCAATTCAATACATTCATTAAATTGTCAATGTTAGTTTGCATAGAATCCTTAATGAGAAAAGGTTGATATGGTTTTATTTTCAGTGCTGAATTAACTGGAGCTTCTTCTCTTTTGTGCTGAAGGTTCAGCTTCGGAGAAAGACGCCGTCTGTGCAGGGATCATCGTAAAAGCTGCGATAAAAATCTTCTTGCATTCTCACTGGCCAGACATCATTCTGACAAACTCTACAAGAAAAAAGCAAAAAGAGGTTTAATTATCTTACATGTAAAGCTCTGGATGGATAACATTTACCCAGAGTGGAGTCGTGCTCATCTACCTTCAAAATCTACCGTCCCGTCTCCGTTATCATCCGCCTCTTTCACTATGGCGTCGATCTCTCTGCGGCTCATGTGCTCTCCCATCAGCTTGTTCATGGCCGCCCGCAGCTCCTCCGTCGTGATCTCTCCGTCTCCGTCCATGTCGAACTAAAGCAGGAAAGCAGGAACAAAAAGGAAAAACTCAGAGAGTTGTTCAGAATAACTCCTGGTAACTTCTACAGAGGAGGATTACGGACACTGAAAAAATGACTTCTTGAAAAAGTCAGAGTTTTGAGATTAAAGCTATACAAAGTTTAGACAAAAAATAATATCAGAATTCCAAGAACAAAGTCAGAATTGTGAGATTAAGGTCAAATGTCTAACAAAAAAATATCAGAATTCTGAGGAAAATAATTCACAACTCTGCAAAAAAGGCCAGAATTTTGAGATTAAAATCAAAATTCTGAGATAAAAGTCAGAGTTTTGAGGTTCTGTGGGGAGTGTTAGGGGGTGGGGAGGTAAGAATTTTGAAATTAAAATCTGAATTTTCTGATTACAGTAAGAACTCTCAGGCCCCGTTTTACACGACAACGATTTTGGGTGAAAACGGAAGAGTTTTGTTGCGTTTGTAGTGTACATTTACACGAAACCACCAAATGTTTTCTCTGACAAAGGCACAGATTGAAAACGGGTTCCAGAGTGCGATGTTTCTGAAACGTACCAATGTCCGTTGTTGTGTAAACAGAGAAAATGGATCTTTTCTTCCAGAGA